ACTTAGTGGATCGTACTACCACCAAAAGATCACTCAGTGGAGCGCTAAATATCAAATTCTTACCCCTATTGGAATAACGTATATATCACTTTAAGGGGCAGACAGCATAATAAAATCTACAACAAGAAAATACACATCATGGTGCAGTATGCTTGTAAGGTGTGAATGGAGTGGAAGAAGATGTATGTCCAACTCACATGGTAAAGAGCCTGGAGATTGGCTCAAATCACAACAGCTGAGGTATGTTTGGTAATACCAGACCTTCTCCAGATATACAGCTCACAACATATGTGGATAAAAAAGGACAAAAATCCTAGTGCAAGTATGTTTAAAATAAACAAGTGGTCACATATAACAGTGCATGAATGTGCTCACCTGGAATAGAGCCAATTGTACTAGGCTCTATGTATAAGCGTGTGGTGCCTTTAAGGGAGGCACTACCCTTCTTTAGAAAATGCAGGAAGCAGTTGAAGATCCACTACCAGATGTATAAGGTAAAAGTAACAATTTATTAAAAAAAAAAACAAAACAATTAAGCAAAGTAAAACTGTATATACAGATACCAAAAAGTAAAAGTCTCTGGGGTGGTCTTCCTTGGAGTTCCGAGACGCGTTTTCGCCGTGGGGCTTTCTCAATCGGATGAATCTGCTTCCTGAATGGGCGATGTTTAAATGTTGGCGCCGTCCGTCTGATTGGACGTGCTGATTGCCGGGTAGCCAATCGTAATGCATGGAATGTGGAGGTGTGTCTCACAGCTGACGGTCGTGAGTCCGGGAGCTCAAAACCCGGAAGTATCATGAAGTGTAGCCAATCTCACGTGGTTAACTGACGTTGTCATTTGGAGCATGTTCAGTGGTTACTAAGCTGTCCGAGGAGCCATCTTGGTTATGGGCAATAGCTCCATAGTTAGATCCATTTTTTAAAAGTCCAATATTGCATAAAGAGTCCCATATTAATAGTAATATATAAAATAAAAAGCAAAAAGAACATGGTTATACATAGCAGAATAATAATATTAAGCATATATACATAAAGGGACTATTGACTCTCATTATATGCTTGCAATCAAAAGGGAAATGTGCTAAAAAAAATAAAAAATAAAAAAAAAAAGGCAATCAGATGATTGAAAAAAAGGTGGCACAACACATGTCAGTGAATGAAGTGGATAAGCAGTGCCAACTGATCTAAAAACATACATAAAAGATCCAATTAAAATTTAAGTCTTATCTTAAAAAGTGGCAAAGCTCAAAATCATTATTTAAACCATATGGTTGTAAACTGTTTAAATTAAAGATCCACTTCATTTCCATTTGTCCCATCTTTTTAATGGTATCATCACCTCTCCAATTAAGGTGAACTCTCTGGATTCCCAAAAAAGTCATCTGATTTGGATCACTATTGTGTTTGATTTTAAAATGTAGTGATAGACTATGTTTGGTATATCCATTTCTGACATTGCGTACATGTTCTTGTATCCTGACTTGCAAGGGGCGAGTAGTGCGTCCTATATAGACAAGATTGCAGGTGCATTTAATCATATAAATTACATGTTTGGTGTGACATGTAATGATTTCTTTAATTATAAACTTTTGATCTTTATCATGAGGGTGTTGGAAATTTTTTATATGGCGTTTAGAACTTTTTGTGTTTTTACAAGCACCACAAATTCCACATCCATAAAAACCACTACTTTCATTGAATGGATTTCCTTTAATGTTTTTCTTCAATGAAGAATGGTTTTGAGTCAAATTACATTTTAAATTGGGGACACCCCTATAGACGTGTTTTGGTCTGTCTGGAAGAATTTGTTTTAGAACCTCAATGCTTTTTAAAATGGACCAATGTTTATTTAAAATTTTCTTGAGTTGATTACTTTGACAATTAAAATCACTTATAAATGGCACATTATCCCAATTCATATTTGATGGTTTATTTTTGTACTGGATCAATGATTCTCTATCCTGCAGATTGACTTCATGGAGGGCCTTTTTAAGAAGTGAATTGTCATAGCCCTTATCACTAAAGTCACCAATAATTCTTTGTGCTTGTTCGCAGAACTTTTCATTATCTGTACAGTTCCTCTTAATCCTCATGAGTTGAGATTTTGGGGCATTTAGAAGCCATGGAGAATAATGACAGCTATTTCCTTGGATATAGCTATTTACATCAATTTTCTTAAAAAATGTGCTCGTTTTAATTACATTATTTTCTATATATATATTGAGGTCTAAAAAGCTAACGTTTTCTTTACTATAGGAGCTGGTTAACTTAATGCCCTAATTGTTATTATTTAAATGTCCCAAAAACTGTTGAAGTGATGACTCATTTCCAGCCCAAATGAAAAAAATATCATCGATATAACGGCGATAGGCAACCAGATTCGCACTCCATTCTGGGAATCCAAAAATGTGTATCTGTTCCCACCGAGACATGAACAAATTAGCATAGCTGGGTGCGAATCTGGTGCCCATCGCCGTACCACACAGTTGCAAAAAAATTGGTCGTTAAACCAAAAATAATTATTGGTCAGTATCCAAAAGATCCCTTCCAAAATAAAGTCTATTTGTGCAGGAGGAAATGTATCTGATGTTTCTAAAAAATGTCTGGTTGCTTCACAGCCTTTGTCATGCGAGATAATAGTATATAACGAACTGACGTCGGCTGTAACCAAAACATAATCACTTTTCCATTGAATATTTATTAGGATCTGAAGTATATCAAGCGTATCTTTTAAATAGCTCGGGGAGCTCTGTACCAGGGGCTGTAAGCAGTTGTCGATATTTTGCGACAATTTGCTAGATACAGAGCCAATACCCGAGATAATAGGACGACCAGGTGGTTTATCTATTTGCTTGTGTATCTTGGGGAGATAATAGAATATAGGTATTTTGGGGTATTGTACGTTCAGGAATTCAAATTCTTTTGTATTAAGAATGCCTTCCATTCTCCCTTTATCAATAAATTGGTTATACGTGATCTTAATATCATTTGTAGGGTCTTTAGATAGAGTTTTGTATGTGCTTTTGTCTCCCAATAGTCTAAGGGATTCTTCCAAATATGCTGCTCTCTCCAAAAGAACAGTACCCCCTCCCTTATCCGCTGGTTTAATAACCAGCGTATGGTCTTCTCTAAAACTTTTTAGGGCCTGACGTTCAGCAAAATTCAAATTGAAATTGCTTCTCTTTGGTTCTTTTATTTTATTTACATCTTGCATAACCATTCTTTCAAACGTTGTCATTTCCTCGGAAATAAATTGTTTAGGAAAGAAGAGGGAGGGATTTTTTAGCAAAGTGTGTGAAAATTCTGAATCAGAATCAATTTCTGATCTTGTAATTGGATTTTTGAAAAAATACTTTTTAAGACTCAATTTCCTCTTAAATTTATTAAGATCAATGTACGTGTCGAATTTATTCAGTGTTCTAGTGGGTGCGAATTTCAAACCCTTTTCTAGCAAAGAAACCTGTGGAGCAGACAACTGTCTGGTCGTCAGGTTAAATATGCCATTGTGACTTATTCCAGTTTTTATCTTCTTCCTTTTTTGTGTAGGTAATCCTCCTCTGACTCCCCTTCTTCTAAACTCCTTTCCCTCTTGTGAAGTGGTCGTAATTTTACGGGACTGGATTTGTGTTTCCCTTTGATTTGTGTATCCCAAAAATCCTCCCCTCTTGATAATTGTGACAAATGTGTAAATCTATTGTGCGTGGGGATGCTATAGTTTGAAGTAGATGTTGTATTGCTTCGTTGCGTGGGAGTGTATCTCTCTTCCCTCCTAGAGGGCCTGTGGTGTTCAGTATCTCCTGATGATTGTGTACGTGAACCATAGTGGTTGCGAGGTTTAGTCATGTATTCCAGGTGAGCACATTCATGCACTGTTATATGTGACCACTTGTTTATTTTAAACATACTTGCACTAGGATTTTTGTCCTTTTTTATCCACATATGTTGTGAGCTGTATATCTGGAGAAGGTCTGGTATTACCAAACATACCTCAGCTGTTGTGATTTGAGCCAATCTCCAGGCTCTTTACCATGTGAGTTGGACATACATCTTCTTCCACTCCATTCACACCTTACAAGCATACTGCACCATGATGTGTATTTTCTTGTTGTAGATTTTATTATGCTGTCTGCCCCTTAAAGTGATATATACGTTATTCCAATAGGGGTAAGAATTTGATATTTAGCGCTCCACTGAGTGATCTTTTGGTGGTAGTACGATCCACTAAGTTCACTTTTTTCTTTCACATTGTGTTTGTGTAGGATTGGGATACCTGCATGCGTGTTTGAGCTGCTGTTCTATCTATATATTATTGTTAAGCGCCTAATTGCACAGAGCACCTTTTTCTTGTACTATTTGTATATCCCTAAATCTGTGTTGGCTGCTATTTGAAAATGTCATTGTTTGAAAACCGTAATAGATGTAGTAAGGACATTGATGTCCTCTTTGAAGATCAATCTATCGGTAATTTTATTCCCCCTAATGATAGGGAAGAAAAAAGAATGAAAATTAATGACTGTAAAATTACACTTGAAAGAGCAATGGGAAAAGAAATCAAAATTAAATGGGAGGTTGCAACCCTTGAGAAATATGATAAAGAAAAAATTACACCCCGGGGCCTTAGATTCTTTAAAAGCCCCTCCTTTGATAAGGAAGAGGAGGACTTTGTTAATGAATGGGTGGAGATGCTGGAAGGCTTCTCCTTTGGCTTGATGGGCCTGATCATCAGGAGACGCAAGATCACATTAAATCAGTTGGATAGTCAAATTAATGAACTACAGAACTTTTTGATTAGTAATACGTCTTCTGAGGATTATGCAACCATAATAGAAGAGATAAAGTACAATCTAGACAAGCTAGAGAAAGAGATTATAGAAAGGAAAAAAAGTAAATATCTTAGAGATAAATTTGACTACGCCAATAAACAAGTGCGTACATATTCTAAAAAGAAGTTCTATTCCCCAAAGAAGCCATATAAGACTAATGATGACAATAGACATCAAATGGCTAGAGACTATAGGGGGAATTACCAACATTCAACCAGATACACTACAACACCTAGGACATCAGGCATGAGAAACAATCGGGCTCACGAAAGCTACCATACTCAGATACACAATCAGTCACCAATATGGAGAGAAAGACATGTTTCCTTTAATGATACATACAGTTCACCTAGAAGAGGCAGAAAGCCACGGGAATACATGACTAGGCCTAAACCTCGCAACCACTATGGTTCACATACACAATCATCAGGAGATACTGAACACCACAGGCCCTCTAGGAGGGAAGAGAGATACACTCCCACGCAACGAAGCAATACAACATCTACTTCAAACTATAGCATCCCCACGCACAATAGATTTACACATTTGTCACAATTATCAAGAGGGGAGGATTTTTGGGATACACAAATCAAAGGGAAACACAAATCCAGTCCCGTAAAATTACGATCACTTCACAAGAGGGAAAGGAGTTTAGAAGAAGGGGAGTCAGAGGAGGATTACCTACACAAAAAAGGAAGAAGATAAAAACTGGAATAAGTCACAATGGCATATTTAACCTGACGACCAGACAGTTGTCTGCTCCACAGGTTTCTTTGCTAGAAAAGGGTTTGAAATTCGCACCCACTAGAACACTGAATAAATTCGACACGTACATTGATCTTAATAAATTTAAGAGGAAATTGAGTCTTAAAAAGTATTTTTTCAAAAATCCAATTACAAGATCAGAAACTGATTCTGATTCAGAATTTTCACACACTTTGCTAAAAAATCCCTCCCTCTTCTTTCCTAAACAATTTATTTCCGAGGAAATGACAACGTTTGAAAGAATGGTTATGCAAGATGTAAATAAAATAAAAGAACCAAAGAGAAGCAATTTCAATTTGAATTTTGCTGAACGTCAGGCCCTAAAAAGTTTTAGAGAAGACCATACGCTGGTTATTAAACCAGCGGATAAGGGAGGGTGTACTGTTCTTTTGGAGAGAGCAGCGTATTTGGAAGAATCCCTTAGACTATTGGGAGACAAAAGCACATACAAAACTCTATCTAAAGACCCTACAAATGATATTAAGATCACGTATAACCAATTTATTGATAAAGGGAGAATGGAAGGCATTCTTAATACAAAAGAATTCGAATTCCTGAACGTACAATACCCCAAAATACCTATATTCTATTATCTCCCCAAGATACACAAGCAAATAGATAAACCACCTGGTCGTCCTATTATCTCGGGTATTGGCTCTGTATCTAGCAAATTGTCGCAATATATCGACAACTGCTTACAGCCCCTGGTACAGAGCTCCCCGAGCTATTTGAAAGATACGCTTAATATACTTCAGATCCTAAAAAATATTCAATGGAAAAGTGATTATGTTCTGGTTACAGCCGACGTCAGTTCGTTATATACTATTATCTCGCATGACAAAGGCTGTGAAGCAACCAGACATTTTTTAGAAACATCAGATACATTTCCTCCTGCACAAATAGACTTTATTTTGGAAGGGATCTTTTGGATACTGACCAATAATTATTTTTGGTTTAACGACCAATTTTTTTGCAACTGTGTGGTACGGCGATGGGCACCAGATTCGCACCCAGCTATGCTAATTTGTTCATGTCTCGGTGGGAACAGATACACATTTTTGGATTCCCAGAATGGAGTGCGAATCTGGTTGCCTATCGCCGTTATATCGATGATATTTTTTTCATTTGGGCTGGAAATGAGTCATCACTTCAACAGTTTTTGGGACATTTAAATAATAACAA